AATAAGCGCTTAAAAACTGTTGGCTTAGGATGATTTCTTTCAGGAAACTTTTGAGCATAAACTCGAGAAGCCAATAAACAATTTTTATGAGATTTTCCAAGGGTGAAAATCATGTCAGTACGCTCTTCTCTTGGACAATTCTTCATTTTCACTTAGCAACACAATAATAATATTAAAATAACGACCAACACGTCTACAATTACAAAAAACAATACCACTTTAGCTATCAAAAAGAGACTTTGCAGTCTAAACTGAAAAATAAAATAAATGATTTGACATGTGTAAATGGCATAGGCAACTTAGATCCATTGGAACCTTAAATTAAACAACACCAAATGGTGCACAGAACGACTATTTGACGTATTTTGTAAAAAGGCAAAAACTTAACTATTAACATCCTAATACCATTCGATAGGTAATTAAAAATTGCATTTCCTGGTAAGTTAAAAAAATATGGGGTTGTATTTAAATTAATCAAGTTAGACCCACTTAAAGTTATTATTTGATTAGTTTAAATTTGTGGACACCCTGTACATTACGAAAATATTTTAAAAATGTGCGCTCGGTAGGCGTCGGACAATTCATAAAATAATACTTTAAAAAAATCAAACGGTTTAGCGACAAACGTCCGTGCCGTATAGCGTGAATAACCCTGTATACTTATACGTATAATTGTGTAGGACCCCAAAGGAAAATTAGCATCTTTGAGCCGAAACTGTGTCGACAAAGTGCCAGCTGATGGAATAACTGAAGACTCCACTTACAGAACATACCAAAGATCCTGCAAAACCGACCTGTGTAACTCTGGAAGTGGTAAAAGTGACTCCAATAGCGGTACATCCGATTTGGGGGATAAATCGACAATTTACGCGCCTGGAACTGGCATATCGGCTGCGAATTCGATAGTGGCTGGCGCTTTGAGTGCAATTTGTGTAATTCTGGTGCTTCTCAATTAGATGCACCCAAAAAATGGGTTAGGAATATACGTTTTTTAAATAATTGTATTGTGTGTATAAATACCACGCAAATCAGGACCTTATCATTTCTCTCATTTTTTCATAATGTTCCTTCGCCTCCGCTTCGAGTTCTTCATATTTCCGGTTGACCTCATTGCAACAATACTCTTCAATAACCTTGATTAACTCGCCAACTGTCCATAAATCCTGCGGCTTTTGCATTAGAGCAAACTGACACTGGGGCGAGTGCTTCAAATGTTCCGACCAGGGCTCATCATTGGCTTCCCAGTTATTCAGTTGCTTCGTACAGAAACAGCATTGCACTGAATCGGGATCCTTGTACGATCCAGTGAACACGAATCCCGCCTCTGCCATCTAAACACCAAACATATCGCCTTAGTCAGTTAGTTTAACGTAGTCAATAACGCATTTGTTGTACCTTTTTGATACTACAGGGCTGCCTGCTGCTGAAAGGCCATACGGTGAATGTGGCTTCTCTTGCCTTCTCTGAACGTAGATATGTTATTGCTTTTCGGTTCT